TATATATATATATATATATGGGGTGTGCGATAGACTTACCTCCACGTGGTGCACCCTGGGCAACGTATACTCATACGGCAAAAAAGTCTATTAACCGGCAGTCGACTTCTGACTTCAAAATACCACGGCACGACTGCTTGTCATATTCGACCACTACACAGTACTCATCTTACCTTTTTCTCTGACTTTGTGTCTGTCTGCCTCTTTTACATCTGTGAATCGCTCTTCTGTTACCAACCCTTCGACTTTCTGCTACTTTGATGAACCTTCCCTCTGTGAAGCCCGAAGTCAATTAAAGGGCTAATGATAGCTATCAAAACGCCTGCCATTCTATCGCTTTTCTCTTTACTTAAAAATTTCTATTTCAAACTCTTTTTCTTATTGAATTGGGGAAAAAATGTTGGCAATTTGACTGCACGAACACACAAAATGGCATTTTGTGGGTATTGGCAACATTAAGATGCCATTTTCCCTGTGTGTAATTTAGGATTGGTTTGGCTCCTAGTAAATTGTGTACTTCGAAATTTGGGTTTTCTTTTTATCAAAGTTTTTTCAGTTTAAATATTTATTTTTATCAAATGTCACTTTTTATGACAGTTATCATCAGCCCTTTAGTTGACTTCGGACTTCACAGAGGGAAGGGACGTCAAAGTGAAAAAAGTCGAAAGGGGGGACAGAAGGGTGTTTCAAAGACGAAGGTAGAAAAAAGGTGGGGTGAGTACCGTAAGTAGTCGATTATGACATACAGTGGGGTCACTGTAGTTTGTGGTCAGAAGTCAACTGTCGCTTTATAGACTTTTTTGCCGTATGAGTATACGTTGCCCAGGGTTCACCACGTGGAGGTAAGTCTATCGCACAGCCCACATTGCTATTTCGCACAACGTGGAGGTAAGTCTATCGCACACCCCATTCATTAAATATCACCACGTGGAGGTAAGTCTGCCCTTCAGTCTAAATATGTCTACTAGAAAGTGTTATGATACCAGTCTCGGAAATCCTCCTAACCATCCTTACCAGGGACAAATCTGGAGCATCTATCAAATCATATGATACTGTTCTACTTGTTTTGTGCAATCTCAGACTATTATTGATTTAAAGGTCTAAATTTCACTTTCAGAGGAATTAGCCTCAAGTTTTTACCTTTGCGTCTGTATTATATCTGTTTGACTAATCTGTGCCTTTTAGCGGAGTAGCTTTACTGCTTAGTGGTTTGCTTAAAAGCCCACCTAAGCACAGTCTTTTCCCCTTTCCTTACGAATGTGCCATTTAACTGGGGACTACTTTCCAACTTCATGCAAATGCTGATAGACCAATGAGTTTAATGCTAACTGTGCTTTAGTTCCCGTTGGCCTGAATTATCCGCCTACGACTGGCCACTCTTACCATAGGTAAGTGCACCTATGGCCAGGTGTGTACTTTAAACACCGCAACACCCTTCGTGAAGCTTTCTAAGTGCATGTTTATCATGTCTGCCGTTACACCTATGCTCTAATCTCAAGTAGACTTTCAAGAAATGAAGTTCTTGCCCTTAATGTTTTCAAACAGTTTCTCATCCTACTTGCTTTCAGTAAATTCGACTAGGTGAAATGTAATTTTAGGGCTTGAACACAATTCTGGTAAGGCAACGGCAATTCTGGTTATATGCACACACTTTATATATACTTTTGGACACTGGAAATCTATTGATGCGCACACGCATACAAGGCACACACAAGCACAGAATATAGTCAAGCCAGCCAATCAGTATCAGGACCACTTTAATGCTGCCCTTATGACGTGAATCAAGTTATCACTAGTTTTCTTCTTAAGTGCAGGTATTTGTGACTGCATCTCGGTTTGCCTTTATTATAGCGATAATCATAAAGAACATCTGAGTTATGTCTAACGAAAGGCGTAAGAACAGAAATGGAAGTAGCATCCATAAGAGGCTGTGCGTTCTTTGAGTAGAATTTATAGAAGAAAAATTGGCAGTGTAGGGGAATCCACCTTCCCGAAAGTAAACAGAGGTCACTCATTTGAACTTATTGATAAATATCCTCAGATCGCCCCCCCCCCCGCCTTGACCCTGGTGCGGGGTCTTCTCTCGTGCTTAGAAAAGGTACTCACAAAAAGGTAGAACATGATTGGATGGTTTATTGCTACAGTCGTTCCGGTTGTTAATATGACCATAAACATATACCCTCATGTAATTGCTTTCAAATGAAATTAGGGGAACAAAATTTCGATAGCACAAATTCGTATACGCACAGTACATCTAGATATCAATTCAAGCCCCCCCCCCCTCCCCAAATCTCTTAAAGCCAAAGCTCCTTGTAATTATTATTGCCTAGTTCTAAGTGGTGGCTGATTTTTGATTACAGGTCTTAGTGACTTTGCACTAGGCTGCATGTCCATTTTACTTTCTTCTCCGAGTACTTTCCTTTGTGAGATGAAACCATGATTATACTTTGGCATCGCGCACACAATTCCCCCGGTCTAATTTGTAACCTGTGATTTTTTTGTGCTTTATTTCGACATGAAGTATATATTTGTTTGCTTTCCAATGTCCCACATGGTGCTTACCTGGAGCTGAACATGTGAAAATAGGAGGACTGCTCTTATGCGCTTCACCTAATTTTGACCCTCTCTCTCTTGGAGGTTACGATATAATTGGCAGTCATTGCAGTTCACACGCCCGCCTTACAGTTGTGAGTGGATTTTCGAAATAGCCTGGAGTTTATTATTAGCCCGGTTGGGTAGTATTTACGCCGATGAATGATTCACTTCCATGACTACTCCGTCTCTCTGTGTTTATTCATTTCACCATTGAAAGACTTTTGCTCACTTTGCTAGGTTGGGAGGAGCACGTGATAAGGAGGTGGAAAGAGGGATAAATTGGTCTTCTATGACTTCTGTGCTTCTGTTCTTTTAGGTTTCGGAAAGTTCAATCTACTATAGCGTGGAACAATGCAATCTCCTGAACCTCACGCCTGATGCTCAAATCTCCAAAATGGGCCCCCCGACAGGTCCTTATGCAGTTCTCCAAATTAATTTCAAATCTCCAAGTGGTAAAAAGACGAAAGTAGTTCCTCGAGAGGACTCAGACGAAGTTTCTTTTGATCTCGTGAGTAGCTTTCTCTCGCTATAACTCAGCAGTTTGCTCCTACCTTGCCTATCACGTTATTTCATATGCATCCCCATGGGGGGGGGGGAAGTATCGAGTTGCAATTGATTGTTGAGGAGAATTCATTATCTTCTTTTTTATAACGCCAAAGTCTGTTGGTATCCTATTTGGTTGTGTATAATTTAATTTCTATGCATTTGCTTGCATTCAATTACTACAAATCGATCTCTTTGAGTCCTGAATCACACACACACACACACACACACTCACACGCTCACACACACTCACACACACACACACACCAAGGTGCACGTTTGCAGTATTTAACTGAATGTTGTATCTTCATTTGGGTTAAAAAATAATTTATATATAATCGCATCATACACACACGCACACGCATATGAGCTAAAAACGTGATTTGTAGCCTGCAAAACAAATTGTATTGATAGTGCAACGAGATTTTTTATCTGACAGTCTTAGTCTTGCTCACCAACTAATGGTCTTATTTGTGCCTCTACACTTGAGATTCTTGTGAGTTTTTCAACCACGGTTGGCATCCGTATCTACTTCGATTGGCAGCTGTTTTCATTAAGACAGTCTCACTTAGGTTGATAAGGGGAAGAATTTTATGTGGTTCCAAATTGAACTACTTTGAAGGGTATGGGGTGTGTGCGATAGACTTACCTCCATGTGGTACACTCTGGGCAACTTGTATTCATACGGCAAAAAAGTCTCTTAACCGGCACCTGACTTCTGACTTGAAACTACCATGACCACACTGTATGTCATATTCGACTACTTCCATAGTACTCACATCACCTTTTTTCTACCTTTGTGTTCCTCTGTCTCTTTTACATCTTTGAATCTCTCTTCTATCCCCCTCCCCTCTCGACTTTTTTTTCATTTTAATGTTCCAACTCCTCTCCGTGAAGCCTGAAGTCAACTAAAGGGCTAATTATAACTTTCACAACGCCTGCCATTTGGTATAAATACTTTGAAGGGTATTCTCCTTTATAGGTTTGGTCTTTGTTTTAATTCAGTTTTTATTGTGACAGGTATCTCATTTCGTTTATTGTTTAAATTGGAAGATCTCCTTTCTATCGTCCATTTTAACCTTGAAACCATGTTATGAAGTGGAAATCAAGGTTATCAAAGTCATCTAATCACTTTGGTTTATTCCGGTTAACATGTTGCAATTAACTCTGGTAGTATATAAAATATTTGTTGCATGCACCAACTTGGTTGCTCTTTGTTATTGGAAAATTCAAATAGTTTATATCTCCTCAATTTGCTAGTTAATTAACGAACGCAATGTCCCGAGGTAATCAATCAAACGGTTTTTGTGACAATACGCAGTCACACATGAACTTTTTCGGGTGTTGCTTTTTCGGGATCAGGGTTGTGAAAACTGTTGTTCCTGAGGTGAAAAATCGATTTAATTAACAATTCATCTAACATTGTAGTCCGGTGAATATACCTTTAAAGTTTTTGCCATAACACTTTGACTTTATCTTTTGTCACTCGATAGGTATTGTTAAGCCTATTTGATCGACGTATAAGGTGAATTTGGTGTATATCAATTAAAAATTGCACAAAGTATTAATTTTGCGTCTCGGAAGCTTAAAAGCGTGCCTCCTTGATCCTCTTTTTGCTGTCTTTATTGAAACCCTCTCCGTAGTTAAAACAAATATTTTTAATACAAACTGGAGCGGATTAAGTAAGCATCTAATATATCTGATCTTTCAACATCATTTCAGCTCAATTTTGTGGTGAGCTTCGGTCAACCTCAGGAACCCCTCTCTGATATTTGCGATTCTGCCTGGTCTCGAAGGAGCAGTACATCTGAGTCCACTACCCCATCACCATGGGGACTAACAACAGCGGGAGCTTCGGCAACTTCCACTGGGCCTTGCACCAAGAAAGTTCTCAATTCGACTTTTTCTACCCAAATCGCAGAGGTCTTCAAATTGGTCGACCCTCAGCAAAACAACCTTGTTATTCTCCAACCATCGACTATTGGTCTTGCCCTAAACAATATCAAATCAAGGTGGATTGATCATGCCCGAACGCTCTACAATTTCCAGCATTGCAGTGTACGCTCCTAACATAGACTGTGTAATTTTTTTGGGTTACGTGGTGTCAGTCATTGTTCTGTATTTATCCAATGAGCTAGCTTTATGCCATGTTTAGGCCACCAAACGCGCCGCCCAAATAGTATTGAAAAACCCGCCCTTTGTATTATATAATTCTCAGTCACAGCCTTTTTCTTATGGGCGCTATGCCATTTCGCATTAACTCCCTAATTTTAGAATTATTTAAACCACACTTAGCGCGCACAAGTTATTTATCAATGCTCATAACTTTGTAGAAGGTATCTCCAAGCGCAGAAGAGTCCACGAAAAAGTGTTTCCAGCTCCTCGCTGCCACGGCTGGAATAACCCAAGATGATGAAGCAGTTGTAATCTACTTCCAAAAGGCCTTGAGCCAACAAACCCTTCAGAATATCTGCCATCCAAATCGAACGCCCTCGGGTATTTCTATGGCTCCCTCGACTCGCAGTACTTAATTTAACACCAACCTGGTGCCACGGAATCTGTATTTTACTTACACCTTTATACCTCATGAATAAATGATTCTCGTTTTACTTTAATGGAATGGTGATCGCTTTAAAGGCTCAGCAAGTTCCGGCTAGAAATATACCCCGGAACCCACACATTTAACAGATCACATTACCAAGATTAAAACGCTAATCAATTTGCCCAAGTCCTATCGAACTATTAACGCGTACCACTCGATCCAAGCATTGTGTTAAACTTGGTAATGGTCCTTTTGCATTTCAATATTCTTAATAGGCTATATCAATGACTAAGATGACTCCTGCTGAGACATGGCAGTAAGCAATGTCAAAACCGTGGCGCGCACGAAGCTTAGGAAATTACCAGTATGATACTATATGCTAGGAGTAATCTAGATTAATAGAGCGCAGTAATTAAAACTAACCTATAGCTACATCTAGCAAACACAAAGTGATGAGCATCTCTGCAACACATTGTCAACTTTAGTATCGCCGAGGGAGGCAAGAATGATTTGGCAAAAGGGATCATTTGCACACAGGGAAATAAAAGTGGCTTGCTAAAAGATGATAAGTGGCAATGAAATAAAACGAAGAAAACAAGGAGTGTAATGACAATGATGAAGGTGTATATGATTCGTAAACTCAGAAAATGTCCACACACAGGCCAGACCAAAACAAGCGCTTCGGCAAACAGGCAAGCCAGCAACCAGTGTACATACATACAAGGAGTATTGGTGGAAGTATTGGGGAGATAGCAAAGGCGATTAAGACAATACATAAGCACATGAAGAAAGCAGAAGTAGGGGATGGAAGATGAGAAAATGAAAACGCAGTTGCTTCGAATGTATGTACCAACCACGCAACGGCCCAAGCCACAATGTGTTTGCAAGTGTAGTGTTTGTGTGCAATAAAGAAAATAGGCTGTACAGAAAAAAGAGAAGGACACTGAAGGTTTCGGTCCAAAAAATATATCTAAGAAAGAATAGAAGATTGAGAGGAGAACAACCGCGATGTTTCAAATTGCACCGTTTCAAAAGACCATTCAAAATGCAAGTAATGATTGGCAGAGAAGGGAATGCACAGAATTAGAGATTTGATAAATCACAGAAGAAAAGTCATGTTTCTCAAGGGATAAAGTGGATTTTCTGCATCAGAAAAGAATATTAGAAAGACAAAGGTTACGTGTCGTATGAGTATAATGTAAGATCTCACCATCAAGCTGTTAAACCTGGTATAAGCGGCGCGTTGCAGTTGTTTATAGGCTTGGTGCGAAGCATACAAAGCAGGAAAAAAAGAGACCACGGCCAAAAGTTAAAATGATGAGCAAGAATAGGTAGGTAGCAGAAGTAGAATCATAAAAAATCGGAAGAACTCGAGGACGTAACAGCTTGCAGCACCAACATACTCTAGAAATAAAAGAATTGCTGTTAAATGCTGTGAAGGTGTCGGCTGTGGACCGTGTGTTGAAGATACAAAAAATGGACTGAAGACGGGGAAGGCACGAGACTGGATTACGAGCTGCGATTTGTAGCACAAATAAAGCAAAGTCTGCTTACGCTTTTTTCCAACGTGTGTAATAGAGGCGAAAATCGAGAAAGCTCAGAATGTAGAGACAAGGCGTAAAGGAGACGGCCACGCTCCAATGTCAACAGAGAAGGGAATGTGTCGTGGATGTGAAGTGGCTTTTTCGGTTTTGAGCGATTTGACAGTTGAAAGTAGAGAAGGGAATCAGGCAGCTCACATACAATCCCAAACAGTCAACAACCAATTGACATTGCGTGTAAGTAATAATCTCTAGTTAAACCGTGTAATTAATTTTCGATGAAGTGGTAGATAAGGATGAAATCGATAGATGCTGAGAAAATGAAAAGAGATTAGAAGTCGAAAGCCATGTTATCTGGATTAGCCTTAAATGTGAACGTTTCCTCCTTTTGTTCATTTTGAGCATCAATTCCATCTTCACCAATATCTTGAAGCGCCACATTCACTGCCACAGAATCATATTCCTGAAATGAAAGATGCATGGTTAGGAAGATAAAAGGAGATAAGAAATAGCACAAATAAACTAACAGATCCATAGAGCATTTCGAGGATTTTGTAGGCAGCGTTGAAAATGGATGAATTCGCATTTTGCTGAAGTGACTCAATAAGTGCAAGACCACCACAAGATTCAATGGAAGTCATGACCTGTTCCAACATATTTCCACACATTTTGATAATATTGGAAATTCCATCAAGCACGACCTGAACAACCTGCGAATCACGAGAGCTCAACAGTTTACAAAGAGGAGGAATCACGTCCTGAGAAACAAGGTAACGAACCTAGATATAAGAGAAATAAAAGCGGTGAGGAAAACAAGCGAATTTAAAAGAGAAAAAACGAAAACTAAGTCATACTTGTTCCTCGTTGCCATTAATTGTCAGATTCGAAATTGCCCAAGCAGCCTCCTTTTGGGTTTGGAATTCACTTTTATCAAGATGACCAATGATAAGTGGTATAAGATTGTGATCAATAACAGCTTGAACTTGGCTTTTATCGCCGGCAGTGATATTTGAAAGGAACCATACGGCTTCCTTGTTAATTTTATCCTTTGGATGATTTAACAACTGAGGAAAATGACTCAGTGCGCCACAGTCTAGGACAACCTGAGTCTGCTGATCAGTACCCGTCACAATATTTCCGACTGCACGCAGAGCCGCTGTCTGAACTTTGAAATTGGGATGAGAAAGAAGTGGAACAAGATGAGGCACAATTTCTGCGTTAATGACCATACTGATGAGATTATTCCCACCATCTGTCAAATAGGAAATAGCCCACACTGTGTCGACAAGGATTTGCTGTAAGAGAAAGTTATTTATTAAATATGTAAAAACAGTAAATGAAAAATATCAATGTTACTTACACTGTCTGATGTATTTGTGATTAAATACAACAAAGCGGGCAACAACTCATTAACCGTTTCAAATGGTGGATGTGGGTCTTTGCTTCGGCAAAGATTAACCATCACCCAAGTAATATTTCTCAAAAACGTTATAGATATACTTGGAGTCAACAGATTGAGAAGCGGCTTGATGAGACCTTGTTTGATAACCATATCTCGAAGTTGCGGACCATCACCAATAATATTCCCCAGCGCCCAGACGGCTTGTTCGGAGACATTCATATGAGGTGAGGACAATAATTTCAGAAAATGTGGTACAGCACCAGCCTGAACAACAGCAGCTGTCTGTTTTGAGTTACCAGAGGCAATATTTGTAAGGGCCCAAGCGGCTTCAAATTGTAAAGTAGGGCTTTAAAGGAAAACGAGGAAATTGTTAATTAAAAGATGGTTTTGCAAACTTTTAATTAAAGTAAAATATATTAAGATGTGCTTACTTTTCGGAATCGAGACAGCTGACAAGCATTGGCAGAACGTTACAACTGATTAGTTCATCAATTGGAGGGTGCCTGTCGCTAGACAAAAGTTTCCGAGCTGACTGCACAACGAGAAGCCGAACAGCAGGATCATCGCTATTGGCGTGCTCAACAATGTCGGGTAAGTTCAAAAGCGGTGGCTTATCGGCAACTTCTACTTCAGCTTCCGCAGAGACCTCAGCAGGAATATTCCTCTTCTTTTGGAGGCATTCGTCGCGTTTTGTCTTCCGCAATTCCACTTGGCCTTCCTGTCTCCTACGGCGCATTTCCTAAAGAAAAATATAATGACAAAAAAATTTACATCAGCGCTTTTTCCAGCATTTTTAAAAGCAAGCTGCCTAGAATTTATTAGAGAATCCGACATCGCGTTGCGTTAGAAAAGCGAAAGTGTGCGCACTTCAAACAAAGGCGATTATTTAAAGGTTTGATTCGATAACTATACCTTTATAAAAATTGAATTGCAAACTTAAATAGCCAATTAAAAATTTTTATTTTTATGTACTATGTTGTTAGGGGAGTCGCATTTTATTTACAAGTGCTAGAAGCTACTTTCTCATTTCTTATTTCGTTCATTTTTAAAAAAGTTTATTTGTACTTTCTATTTGCTTTTATTAAATCGAAAATTTTTTAGGGCTTGGTATTGCAAAAATCTTTAATTCAACTTTTATTATTTTTCGTAGTTCATAGGCGATTTTTGTGGATGAATTATTAAAATTAAATCTAATCAGCAGTTTTTGAAGAGGTTTTGTATCCACGACAAATTTAAAATTAAGCTTTCTTCAAGACTTTCATTAAAACGTCAAAGTTAGCAATAAATATATAATACTGTCACAGTTGTAAACCAAAATTTGTTCATTTAATTATGTCCATGTTTTCAATGCTTGACTTTTGATCCCAAGTACATTCTATCAATAAAATGATTCGTTTCGTTATACGAAATCATTTCTTGTCAGTTGGAAAATGTAACGCAAGAATTGCTCGATTGTTTTGTTAATATTAAGATAAATTGGAGGAACAATTTAGTTGAATTCATATTGTACAGCAATTATGTAGAATAACGCGGAGTTGGTCAGTAAAAACAGAAGATCTTCCTCCTTGGGACGAATATTGACAAAAGTGGAAATGTGCAGTAGCTGCCTAAAAGTATAAAAACCAACGAAAGGTTTCATTTTATTTTTTCCACCGTGAGTCATGTGAGGCAAGTGGGTACCCGTTACAATCTGATAAGTTGGAAAGATATGAAGTCAGATCATATTAAAACACGCTAAGCTCCCAAAGAAAAATGTTAGTGATTAAGATGGTGTCTTCATTAGCAAATTTATGAGGATTTGTTGATCATTTCCAAAATGTTCTAGTTATAAAATTGAACTTACTTACTGTGTTGTGGCCAATTATAGTTTCATAATTAATTTTCATAAAATCAAGATCGCATTAATATTAATTCAACTAAATATGATGTCGAGCTTAAGGAAAACGATAACCTACTATATTGATAATGTGAGCAAATTAGTTGTTCTTAAGTGAGACATGTTTGTAAGTCCAAAGTGAGAAGAGTGGATGAAAACACCCAAATACTCAATTTCAAATCATATTTTGAATTCACTGATCACATTCAATTAGATATTTTCGTAATTGTTCACAAGACACTCTTCATCAACCTTCTCCTACAAATTGTTTCCTAGTTTCTACCAACCAACAAATATTATTTCGCAACTCGAAAAAAATGGAAGCGTACAATTGAAAAGATTACTTCAAAAGTACTAACCATGCTAGCAGATTTAGGTGTTTAATACCTTAAATTATATCTAATTTGTTCTGACTATAGAAAGGAAACACAATTTTACTCAATTAAGATATTTCGAAGCGAGAATGGAAGTGGAGATTAAAGACGGATAAATTTAAAATAAGAGATCATTTTATTCAAAATTGTTCATTTTCAGTAGATTGACAAAATAAAATTTCTCTTTATAATGGCTTATTAACTCATTTGAATAAATCTTTGTGCATGAAATCCCCATGCTTTTGCTTTAATTTGCATACACTAATACCTCTTGGGTAAGCCCTAAGAGCATTCAAATTTTAGAGGAGTAAGAAGCTTTATCCATTTTGATCATGCTTCATGTGATTTTGCTTTAATGCAGAGACTAATTTAAAACTGCAAATGACTCACCAATTACTATTAGTCATGTGTTTTAACATCGCTCATTAATAATCTGGTTTTCATTGAAATTAAAAGACTTAATATGAAATAATGGACAAAGGTCACCACAAAGAACATTTACTAAGGAAACAAAGTGGTTATTTCAAAGTAAATTACATAGGATTTTCCCTCATAGGATTTTGAATAAATTTTTTTCCGAAAATTATATTTTTTTGGCGAATAAATATGCTCAAACTATCTCAAGGAATACTTTTCAAACATATGTATTTTTTCAAATGGCAGGCTTTATGATATTTATCACTAGCCCTTTTCGAACATTTAATCCTATTTTGAAACTGTGCCTTGAGTGATTAGAAATCGGTCAATTGGGTCAATTTTTTATAATTTCACAAATCTAAGCTTACTTTCAACGGTGTTGGATATTTACTATAAGAAGCTTTATTTTAAATAGGAATTTCAACAGCTGATTTTGCCATATTGTACACTTTTTATTATGAATATCTTACGTTCTGGTAGTTCGGATTTTAAATTAATTAAGAATATTCAAGTTTTCTACTGCTTGAATTTGTAATTTTTTGTTAAGACAAACATTTCAAGATTTAGTCTGAAGAATATTTGTTTCTTTATTTAATTTTTTTTGGAATTAACTTGACCTTCAACCAATTGCCCAGTTGTTGGATGTTGAGTTTTTCTAGCGTGCTGCGTTTCTAATTATCAATTTTAGCCTTTTTAAATTTAATTTTAATAAATTGAGGTTTATATGGGCAAATTTTCTTATTGTTCTAGGCATTAATCGTTTAATTTTGCTTTTAATTTTTTTTCTGAAGTTGTATCTACGTCATTGCATCATTAATTAATAAATTTTTTAGTTTGTACGGATGGTATAATGCTTGATGAGACGGCCGCTCATGTTCTCGGCGGTGGGTATGTTACTAGTTAAATTATTAATATCTATTCTCTTAGCATTGGTGGAACAGTAGGTGCAATATGTACGTGTCCTCTGGAATTAGTCAAGACACGTTTTCAGTCTTCCCAAGGCAATTCAATCTCTGGGTCTTGTAGTTCTCGACCTCCATCCTCTGCTACGATGAATTTAGCATCATCGTCTGTTCTTATCCGTTCTGCCCAAACTGCTGCAATAACCACCCAGCCCTCTGCTAAATTCGATGTTACTCGTATTCCGACTAATTTACCTCACAAAAGCATATCATTTTCGCCCCAATTCTGCAAGGACTTTCTTCTTAGATCAAAAATTATCCAATGTATGCGTGATGTTTGTCGTACGGAAGGTTATCGGGCCTTATTCAAGGGACTTGTACCTACTCTGGTTGGTGTCTTGCCATCAAGGTTAGTTGTGCAGTTTTTTAACAATTGTTTTTTTACTTCTTTACCATATTTTGCTTGGTCTTAAATTAATTATTCTCGTCTAGTTACCTGAATGTGCTTTATTCAATAAATCAATATTATCGTTCCCGGTATTCTGTAAAGTTAGTGTTTTCTAGATCAGTCCCGTCTTTCGTTTGTTTTAATATTCTTACGTAAGAATTTGAGAATTGCACTTCATTTTTGTGAATTGAAATCCTTCCCATAATGCTCCCACTACAAAATTTCAAGCAATTTGGAAGCTCTTAACTTCACTCTAACTTCTGATTTATCGAAAGCTTTTTGTTACACTTTTCCTCTTTTCTTCTAGTTATTATATTTTACTCTATTTTATTTTATGGAAATGCTGGGCTTGACGTTAACATCGTTATATCTCATCTTTTCTTTAACCATTATTTTTTTGAATACGTTAGAACAGATTTATTTATCTCGTCGCTAGAATTTAGCTCTCGATAGTGCTTCTATCTCTTCTTGACTTGCTGTTTACCTGCTTTCCGAAGTGCACTTTCTGCCCAGGGGTCTCTACTAAGGTGCTTTATATGCGCTTGCGCACTACCGAATGCTTGGGTTGCAGTATCTCGCTTGCACGTGCGCCTGAGTCACCCATTTATATCTTTGCGATTGGTTGCTTCAAGGTTGTAAACATTTGCCATTATACAACTTTAATAAAGAACACTAGCCAATTAACTTTGTTTCGGAGGCTGATCCCCATCATGTCGTCACTGTGGGTGCTATTCCGATTTTGACTGATGATGGCTTTCAGATGGCCAGGATTTTGAAAATGATGCCTTATTTTGCAATTCATGCTCGGGGATAGATAGACTTTCCTTGATTGCCATTACTAAATATCCTTTCGGCTGGTTTTTGAGTCATGTAATGGCTGAGGGTAGTATTGAAATGTCAGCTTTCCTGTAGGCACATACAATAATTGGTTGTTGTGCAGAAAGAGTGGATGCTCACAGCATCACCACCGGTTTGTTGTGTTTGGTGTAAAAAGAATTATAGTCACTAATTTAAGAGTTAACAAAATTGCAAAGACTAGAGAGCCGGAACCGGATCGTAAGGTTAAGACCATAGATACTGACCAAAAACTCGAAACTGCTTACAAAGTGGAGGACACAGATAGTTGTTTTTTTTGCCAATGTGTATTGATTAACCCACAATCTTATTATTAGTTATTGTTTTATGGTGATTGTATATTTTTAATAGGAAGCTTTAAGCGCTGGCAGTGCTTGCATGCATATTTACGGTGGATCAAACACACGCCTGCTCATCTCCTAGCCCATTTCACTCTGAAATGACTACAATTTGGCGTTGCTGGAGTATGTTGCCTTTTAATTGATGGCTTTATAACGATGATGGCACCGATGTCAATTTTTGTTGGTAATTGTTTTCAAAATCCTTTCTTCAGAATATTATGCCTATTACTTGTCTGTTCCAGCTGTCTTTTAGTCTTTATCGGCTATTTAAGCCCTCCAAACGAATATATTTTTCTATTGTTTCCTACTTTAATTAATCGCATTTGGTAGTTTAGTTGTTGTTAAACTGCTTCAGATTTTCTGTAATCAGCTCTATACTCTAGATATTCTATTTAACAATTGGAAGACTAAAAGAAAGCCATTGTAAACTACAGTTTGCAATGAATAAGGATGATAGTGGGTATACTGTTGTCCAATTTGTACTGTTGTTGCCCCAAGTATTTGGATGATATTGCGCGATTTCTGCTTTTGGTTAATAGAAAGGCCTTTGCGTTTTTTGTATCCTTCTACCTTTCTGCTTTAGGTGTATATACTTTTGTGCATATCACGAAGGCCAAAAATTCTTCCAACAGTACTTTCCAGAGGGACATTCTGCTGTGTTCATGCTTGCCGCTGGATGTGGAAGTAAGTCCTTAATTGCATTCTCTGAAATAATAGCGTGAATTTATATGTCCTCCCACATTTTGTACGGGGGAAGTGAAATCAGCATTTACAGTTCCTCCTGCCTGTTTAACTTCGTGTGTTTTGTGAATTACCTATTCTCGACCTTTTACTTAGTTGTGCATGTTGTCTTAAATACTATTTCGCCTCAGAAACTATTTATCCCTTAACTTCTTATCAAAATGCCTTTAACCGTGATAAGATTGATAATTTGATCGAGTCTCAGTGTGTTTTGGGAAGAAGTTGTTGCTTCGCACTATTGACAATAATAGGTTATTGATAGAAAGTCAGTTATTGTCAAATGCCTCCCTCCCAGGTCAAATTCTCAATCTCATCCTCAAACATAACCTAGTTATAGTCTCCTGGCTCAATAGGCTATTTGGTTCAGTTTTAATAAGCAACCGATAGAATCGTTCAATCAGCCGGGGTCTTCCAGAACATAATTCAAGTCCTTTTAAGGTTGGATATACTTACCAAATCGATTGGTAAACTCTTGCAGAATCCTCAGTTATTATTTCAATATTGTTAAAGGTGAATGCTTCTGGAAATTTCACTTAGGTACCTAATAATGCTTCCCGTTAAAAGTGATGGGGAGGGGGGGGGTGAGTGGGTTTCAAGATATTTTAACTAAATTGAAATGGAAATATTTATTTACTTATATCGATAAGCAAATGCTGAGAACGTCAAAATATTGTCAATTGTTTGTCATCGAAACCCCCTAATTATGAAATGTGGAGGTTTTCGTAGCTGAAGGTTCTGGGCTTCTTTTTTTGGTTACTGCAATATTTTAATGTTTTTTTGAACAGTAATCTGACTAATTAGCCTAATACCTCACCTATATCAGTAGTATGTGGTTATATTTTAATGGCTATCTATACAATTGTATTGGCCAACCAGTTGTTTAGGCTTATGTTTTGCATCTATTGCCCAACGTGAGTAAGCCTTAAAGCTGAATTTGTACGCATGTATCTAGTCAAGATTAGATTGTGTAGGCTTGTTTCCTCTATTTTCCAGGCATCACGGCCTCCACAGTCACAAATCCCATTTGGTATATCAAAACTCGACTGCAATTGGACTCAAGGTACGTATATTCCCCTTCTCTCAGGCTTCTTGTCTACTAACCCTTCCATATGAGATCGCTATCGTAGCTTGTGCACTTAATGCACCACGAAAATTACTTTCTATTAAGTTTAGGCACACCGCATTTCCGTCCCTTCTCCCTTATTGGTCAATGTGGTTGGTTATTGCAAATTAAGGAGCAATCGAAGGTATACATTGTTGAGAGAGAGAGTCTATGGGATAGAATGCATGTCAGGTAATTAACGGTAAAATTACTTTGGAGCCCTGAATACCCTAGTGTGGATGTAATAATGATCTTTCTAAAGCCTATCAGTGAGATATGCCTTTCCCAGATTGCGAATATCGGGAGGAAATGAGAGAGTGAGAGATCGAATTAAAGTTTATTTATTTATATCAAATGGCAGGCGTTTTGATGGTTATCATTAGCCCTTTAGTTGACTTCAGGCTTCATAGAGGGGAGGAGGAACATCAAATTGAAAAAGTCGATAGGGGGGGGGGGGGAACAGAAGAGTGTTTCAAAGACGAAGGTTGAAAATTTAGAAAAATGTGATGTAGTACTGTGGAAGTGGTCGAATATGACATACAGTGGGGTCAGAGGTCAAATGCCGGTTAATAGACTTTTTTGCCGTATGAGAATACGTTGCCCAGGGTGCACCACGTGGAGGTAAGTCTATCGCACACCCTATCGAATTAAAGTATGTTTGGGGAATTGCCTGATTTTGCTTTCTTTTTCCATACTAGAATATTTTTCTTCCTTTGCATTGACCGCTCATTGTACGAATTAGAAACGACTATTGAAGACCACTGATCCCTCTATGAAATTCCCACTATAATCATCTTAACACTTGACAATCATCTCGAATATGCTGTTTATTGATGGCTGTTGATAAGTTCTCATTTCTGACACCTTTCTCTCCAGACCCAAAGCCGCGCCTGTAACCGTTTGGGACATAATTAAGTCCACTTATCGTGAATACGGTCTCCGTGGTTTCTACCGTGGAATTAGTGCTTCCTATATTGGCTCCCTCGAAACAGCCCTTAACTTCGTTGTGTACGAGCACGTGAAGGGTACTCTGCTCTTCTGGGGCCAAAAACGCAATCGACAAACAGAGATGGCTGCCATTGCTGCGGAGGATGGTGTTGGGAATTGGGAGGAATGTGCCAATGGGGAGGTTGATGAAAGTGGGCAATGTTTCCGGGGCTCTCAGGGTGGGTCCAAACTCAGTGCCAATAGTGATATGATCATCTGTATGGGTGCTAGTGCCCTCTCAAAATTCGTGGCTATCACTGCGTCCTATCCGCATGGTAAGCAGCTACTTTTTTCTCTAATGCTGCATCTAAGCCCCCTATTTGGGCATTTTGCGTTTGTATTTGTTGTTAATGTTGATTTTGTAGTCTTCATTTTCCGACACATTTTGCTCTCAGTAACGCCAGTTTCACGGAAGACTATGCATTTCCAAAATTGCTCTTTCGTCACGTTAATTAACTTTTCGTCATTCCATTTGTATGGCCCTATCACACTTTTCATACGTAAGGGCTTTACTCATGAATATTTCGTTGACGCAGAAATCTCTCCTGCGTACACAAAGATGTCCCATTGGAGTTCTGAAAAAAATTAGAGTAGTTGTCATTAACCTTTTAGTTTACTTTGGGCTTCGTAGGGGAGGGGAGGGGTCTAGGACAGAAGAGTGATTCAATGGATGTAAGAGAGAGTCAGACAGACAAAAAGGTAGAGAATGAGGTAACGTGAGGTGAGTACTGGGAAAGTGTTGGAATTTGACATACAGTCGGGTTATGGCAGTTTCAAGTCAACTGCCGTTTTATAGTCCCCTTTTGCCGTTGCCCAGGGTGCCCCACGTGGAGGCAAGTCTATCGCGCACCCCGAGTTCTGAAATATAATTTCGTAAGTAAACGCTATTTTCAATGTGCAAAGGCAATTGTGAATGTCGTTTTAAAAATACGAAATAATTTGCTTGCTTTCTCCTCGTATCATTTGTGATTTGCTTTGAGCGTATAAGTGACACCCCCATGCAGTAGTTTTACATAAGCTCTTCATCCTATTTTCAAGTTCATCTGTTGATGTTTGGGGACAATTAGTCGAGCACTGACCAACAGCTTTCTCGACCTCTGTCAAGCGTGTTTGGAAGTATCCAGACTTTTCGTATTTTGGTGGCTTTCAAACGGCCAGTTAAATATT